TGCTGCCTTGCATGTGTGTGTGGATGGAAAGATAGGCTTGGATGTTGGATTGGAAGTTTGTGGCATGTTCATACAGAATATGGACAGCTAATGATGTTGAGTCTGGATCTAAAAGTCCTCAAAGCACCACTTGATACCCAGATCCTTGTGGCAAAATTCCCAACCTCCTCACAATATTTACAAAAATATAAAATGTAAATAAAAATACAAACAAGTTCTCTTTTTAAACTTATTTTTGTTAAGAAAGGAGGACTGAGGTGTTGAAGGTTTGCTGGAAAATTGGCTGTCTCTTAATGGTGTTGTCCTCCAGACACAGTGGGCCCTGGACACATTACTTATCTGTCTTCTGTTTCTTGCTTGCAACTTCATCCTGAAAATAAAAGAAGAACAAGATGAGAGGTGCCACCTTGATTAATCAACAATAACAACAATAGTGGCGATATATTCCTCTTTCTCTTTAGAAGTGTAGCGAAATTAAAGCCGCTCATTTTGTTAGAAAAAGGCAAAGTCAGTGATTTGGATTCTGGGTTACCTATAAACACTTGATGAAATAAATACAGCTCTGTGCTCACAACTATTAGGTGAAAGGCTACAAAAATTCAATTTGGGTAATATTCGATTGCGTTTGTTGATGGGTTAGGGTTTCTTATGTGTTATATTTTTGAATTTGGGTCATACAATGATATCTAGTAAATTATATCTACAGGAGCTTATTGCATAGAAAAGTGTGTTTCCATTACACATTTAGCTTTTAGAACCAGTATAAGTTCTCTTCAACACTTTCTAAATAATGCCTAGTCTTTGTTTTCCAGCTTTGACATACACTGATATTGATTTTTCATCAAGTGTCCACCACTCTCTTGAGGACCTGCATATCCTTAAACTGTACAAATTATCCTCCACATGTGTTGTTTTGATTGCAAACCAGTGGTCTGTTTATGAATCACTGACTGTAGTTACTTATTATGTAATGGCTTCCATCTGGTGTGAGCTTAAATCATTTGATAGGTTGCAACTTTTCCAAACCACTGAGTCTCACTAGAGCACCACCATCTCAGCCCAAAGCAAAGAGGCACATCAATCTCAAAATCCTCACCCTTCATTTTTATAACCAGAACAGCTGTGCACACAAGGGCCAACTAAAAACAATCCAGACGTAACCATTAACCCATGTTAGCCCTGTAAAATACATGAAGTGGCCATGGTGAAGGGTGGCAGGGTAGAGTGGCGAGCACTGTTTTCTCACATTCCCAGCCTGAGGTCTTATGTGTGAAGTTTGCATGTTCTCCCTACGCCTGGGGGTGTTTCCACTGGGTGCTCCAGCTTCCTCCCACAGTTCAAGACATGTTGAGGTTAATTGGTGATTCTAAAAATTCCATAGGTGTGAATATGAGTGTGCTTGGTTGTCTGTCTCTCTGTGATAGACTGGCAACCTGTCCAGGATGTACCCTGCCTTTGCCCTAAGTTAGCCACGATAGGCTCCCTCCAAAACCCTACAGAGGATAAAGCGATGTCAAAATAATGGATGGATGGCCGTGGTGAGTTGCTGTCAACTTAAGTAACAACATCTTCACCTACAAAAACTGGAGCACAACAGACAGGAGCAGAGGAGAGCAGAAAATCAGAAAAAAAACCCCCACAAAAATTAGGTAAACAATAACAAAATAACCTAAACAAAAGACTGCATTTTTGCTTTCACAAGGCAGTGTGAGGGTTACTCTCTGTATGTTTATAAATGAAGGGAGAGCTAACAGTTTGAAAGGCGGGACTCACATGCACTGGCATTACTTCACTACATCTTCACATAGCAGATCGTTGTTTGCTGCTATGTTAATGGTATATTAGTGTTTAAAAAGTTGCCTGATGCACCTTTAAGATGCTTTAGTGAACCATCTTTTTTCAGGCTGAGACTGTACTCAGCTGGTGTTTGTGGCCCTTTAAACCCCTTTCACACATGCACTCTGTTCCGTTAGTCTGACAGCTGCTAAACAGGTCGGCTGCAGGTGTGAATGTGCACCCTGGTCACTTATCCGTAAAAGGTTCGCCATCAATCTTGCTAGGTCAGACCTACTAATGTTTCTGTAGAAATTTCAACATGGCACAAGTGTGAACTGAGCCCCTTAACAGGTTAGGTACTTTGTGAAGATATTTAGACAATTCATTTTGGGCTGCTGTAGTTCAGGTGATAGAGCGGGTTGTCCTCTAATCGCTAGGTTGGCGGTTCGATCCCTGGCCCCTCCACAGTCAAAGTGTCCCTGGACACGACACTGACCTCGAAGTTGTTCCCAGTGGCAGGCCGGTACCTTGCATGGCAGCTCTGTCTTTACTTGCTGTATAAATGTGTATCTACTCTCAGATGTACGTCGCTTTGGATAAATGCTGCTAAATGAAACTGTAAACTGAGGAAGGATTTTTCCACATTTCAGCACCAAGAATACAGAAATGCTTAATACATAATTTGTGCCAAAATCACAACACACCTTTTCAGGCACTTTGCCCTACATTTTCAAATCTTTTGGGCAACAAAATGTAATAACACTCCATTCAAAAAATCCATAATAAGAAAACCTTACTGTGATGAAACAGACACGAACAGTTTGAACATCAATGACACTCACCAATCACCAGCCCACAAGATGCTATGAGGAGCTGGAGTGTGTTTCTTCCAGCTGCTTGGAACTATTGGTCTGATTTTGTTTAATATCTGCAGCATCAGACAGCAGTAAGACGCATGTGTGGGTCTCCATAGAGCACACATTTGCACACGTTTGCACTCCAAAAAAAACCACCAGAAAACAACACCAAAAATAACATCTTTCTGATTTCTTCACATCAGACAAGTGAGCTGTCACACACGGAAGAGCAGTTTAGTTACCAGCTGTTTAGCACAATACTTTCATAGTTTATTACATACCTGCAACATTTGACAGCTGTAGGATCCATGAGTGTATCCAAAGAGAGAGAGCTGTGCACACTTGTGCACAGAGCAACAGTGGTAACATCATCAATTCAGTTTAACTACAAATTATCCCAACCTGGAGAAAGGGCCAACCAAGATCTAAAATCAGCTGCAAACTATTCCTCACTTCAGACAGGTGCCACACAGAGTAACAGTTTATCAGCTGCAGTTTCATATTTTGTTACACCGCAGCTGTCCTCAGTTGAGTCCTGAACCTTCAGTTTCACTGTTTAAGAAATCAGAAATAAACTGAGCTGTTAGTGTTTTGGACACTTTGATCATCTGCTTTTGGTTTAGTTTTAGTCTGTTATTGCATTATGATGTTTTATACATCACTTGGTCTATTAACATTGCATTAACGGATGGGTGACCTATGTGTGAAAGGGGCTAATTTAGGGGCTAATGCCATCACTTTAACGGATTGAGTAACCCACCAATGTTCCATGTTGCATGTCTGGAAAGGGCTTATCACTGAGACCTTGTATCATACCAACTCACCCTTACCTCTTCATCATCATCATCCTCAGCTGCTCTCTTTCCCACTGGCCCGTCAAGGGTATCATCTTCATCATCATCTTCATCACCTGAATACACACAGATAATGTGACTTGTCAAACTGACAGAGTGGGAAAAAACCCTGGCATCACTTTGACATGTATTGCCTACTTTTGATTGGACTGCTCCCTGTATCATTTCTGTTCTTCTCAATCTAAAGTCTGCACTAAATCAAACTAAACAAAATGACCAGTGTAAAATCCTTAAGCATGGTAGCTGCTAGGGGAAACACTGAGCAACTCTTTTGGGGGTCAGATACTTCTCCAACCAAGGGAGTAGGTTTGATTTTGACATTGGTGGGGACACAAAAGTGCTCCAAGGCAGAACCCATGAAAGTTGGCAGGTTTTTTGGGGTTTTTTTTGTATTTGTAATCAGAGTATATAGATAGAACTCTACTGATCCCTTTGGTCGGGTACCTCAGGGAAATTTCACATCATGAAGAGCTGATCAAATAAGCAAACAATCATAGTCACAAAAAGAAAATCAAGAATTGACATGTTTATAATGCACATCTGAATATCTAAAGAGAATACAAGAATTTAATGCATTCTCCAATGTTACAGACTAAAGCAACTAATGACAGACAAGGAGGCAACGTCAAAGAGTTCTCATCTTTACTCTGTTTTATGTAATATCTGTAATGTTAATAGTAAGGAACACGCAATACTGCTCTGAACACAATGCTAAATAAGACACATCAAAATACATTCACACTGGTGTTATCCGTGAAGTGTCTTGAACAAGCAGACAAATTGAGGATGAAACATAAAACTGTGAGAATATTCTACTGTAGCAGCAAAGTTTGAAAAATTCTGATCAATAATGGCAAATTTCAATTAACACTGGTATGATTAAAAATGAAGAGTTAAGAATATTTTTTGAACTACAGCAAGTCAGTGCCTGAACTACAGTACGCAATTCACATGAAAACAAACATGAAGTTACTGTATGAACTGTGTGATGAAAAGCTACCTTGAATCTTGCCATTTACAACAAATGATATGATAGTGTTACGGAATACTTTCTTTCTTATTTAGAGTAATCGCCTCATCTGTGTGTCTGTCTTTTCACCTGTGTGTGTCTGTGAACAGTCTCTAGCTCGAGTGCTAAGTTACAACAACTTGATAGTTTACAGGTGAGCTAGGAGTACCCTCTCCTTGAAATGATTAGATTTTCGGGTCAATCAGTGCAAAAATAGCTCTGCTAGAGGTCAAAGGTCACTTTTTTCAAAAATGCTGTATACCTTCAAAAGAGTGGAAGGTACCGATATGGTCTCTGGTGCAGATAAGCAACCATGTTGGGACTTTCTGTTGGTGATGTTGCATTTGACCTTGGATCTTATTTCAAGGTCAGCCTCAAGGTCATACATTTTGTCTGCACTGTAACTTAAAAATGGTGCAAGACAGACACATTGTTTGTATCGGAGACTATATATAGGTCTCCCACTGGGGATGTAACATTTGACATAGGGTAATATTTCAAAGCCAAACTCAAGGTCAAAAAATTTTGATATTGCCTTTATATTTTAAATAAAATGTAATGTATACATGGATAATACCAATTTCACCTGGGACAACCAGCCAACCGTGATTAGTGAAAGAAAACACTTATGTTGTGGTAAGTTGGACAGAATAATGGTTTCAAGTTTCAAGGATTCAAGACCTTTATTTGTCGCAAACACAATTATGCAAAGTATAATGCGCAGTGAAATGCATTATTCACCTGTTCCAGACCGAAACAATAAGAAGAATAAAGAATAAAACACACAAATAAGCAAAATAAATAAATCAGTGTCAAATAGTGTCAATTAGTTCAAAACATCAAATGAAATCAAATAAAAATGAAACTTATATATATAATTTTGTATCTTATTTCATCTCATTTTATATATATACACTAATTTTTACTTAGGCTCAGTGCAATCAGGGTCCTGTAGTTACAATTATTTTCCTGTACCTGTCTTTAAATACACTGGTGTCAGTGGAGTTTGAAGTAAATTGTACAGTTACAGAATCTGGCCACCAGATGGCAGATCAAGCCTTCTAATAACTCAGTTGTATCACTTAGCTGATACACAAAATGTGTTGTTTTGTTTCTGTAACTTCACAGTGTTTTGATTACACAAAACAGTTTGTGCTGGGAAAAGGGTAGTTTCATTTGTGCACCAAAGAATTCTAAGAGGAGGTTGTAAATACTGATATACTGATATCCTGATTGCCCATCCATGGGTTGAAGTGTCCTCGGGCAAGACACTAAACCCCAAGTTGCTCCCAATTGTAGGTGAGCAAGTTGCATGGCAGCTCTGTTGCCATTGGAGTGTGAATGTGTGTGTGAATAGGTATATAAGAAGTGCTTTGTAAAACCTAGGTCAGGCTTAAAAAAAAAAAAAAAAAAAAAGGCACTATCCAAGTGCAGACCTTTTTTTTTTAATCATAATGTCTAATGTCTCTCTGTTGTTTTTCGGTATGATTTCAAAACACCAACCTTCTCCATCCTCCTCCTCCTCTTCACCCAAGTCTTCGTCATCCTCCTCTACCTCATTCTCCTGCTCACCATTCTCCTCGTCCTGACAGGATGAGACACTTACATTCACCAAAAAAGAAACAAGGACCATTCATGTTCTACAAGCTGTGCAAGGAATAGGAGCTGTTCTTACATTTTTTCCATTGGCAGCAGAATCCTCTCCATTCTCTGTCTCTTCAGCCTGTTTCTTCTCCTTCAGCTCCTGAAAGCAAACATATATTCTCAGACACATGCCTAGTTTTCTAGGTTTGTGGACACTGTGTAAGAAACACCATGACAAAAGAAATGACCAGCAACCAAATCTGACAATGCACACTAACTTTATGTTTTCTTAGGAATGCTACAAATGAGTCTAAAAGCTCAATATAAATGCAAAGTTTGTCCACACTTTATTTTCCCAGATTTTGTATTTTAGTCTTTATGTGTTCTTTCTTTCTGCTGCAAGGTGACTCAGTGGTGAGCACCATCGCCTCACAGCTAGAAGGTCCCCGGTTCGCATCTCTTTCTGCGGGGAGTTTACATGTTCTCCCCATGGTTCTCTCCAGGTTCCCTGACTTCCTCTCACAGTCCAAAAACAATAATTAATTATTAATGATAAATGAATTAATTGGTGATCCTAAATTGTCCGTCGGTGTGAATGTGAGTGTGCTTGGTTGTCTGTCTCTCTGTGTAGCCCTGCGATAGATTGGCGACCTGTCCAGGGTGTCCCCTGCCTTCACCCTGAGTCAGCTGGGATAGACTCCAGCCCCTCACGACCCTAGTGAGGATTAAGCGGTGTACAGATAATGGATAGATGGATAGATGGATTAATTCTTTCTGTCTCATGTTTTTGGCTCTGTGGTCAAACTTTCAAGGCAAGATGTCTGCATTCTTGTCATCGTTTTTGTACAGCAGAGAATAGTGTGTTTTCACAAAGTAGCAGTGTAAGCATACATTGCAAAAGCTGAATATGTTACTTTGATTGTTCTTGTTATTCTAAATTACAGAGGATTAATTCATTTCTACAACTGAAGTGCATGGCACTTATGTTTCTGCTTTTTTTTTTTCAATACCCCGTTTGCATCGATAAGGCGATATTTACGTCTCTGCAGCAACTAAAAAATGATCTGTGATGACTGAAATGTGCAGTTACCACACAATATGACCAGATAAGGCCAAAGTATAAGAACAAAATGAAAGATCACGAACGGCCAAAACAATCGTAAAAACTTACTTGGTACTCAATTTTTTATGCATCTCGAGCTGCAAAAGTAAATGATCTGCATTTATACAGTGCTTTTCTACCTTAGTGGTACTCAAAGCACTTAACAATGTTTTTCTCATTCACCCATTCACACACACATTTACACAGCAATGGCGACAGAGAAGCCATGCAAGGTGTTTGCTTGCCATTGGGAGCAACTTTGGGTTCCGTGTCTTGCCCAAAGACACTTCAACTGTGGAGGGGCGGAGGATCCAACCTTGCAATCAGAAGACAACCGCTCTACCACCTGAGCCACAGCTGCCCAAAACAAACACAATACTCAAAAAGGGGGTTTGCTCTAGATTCAGCTGGAAACAGATGTGGATTTGTGCTGTGGCTCCAGTTCTCCTCAAAAGTTTGTTCAACTTGGCTTCCTAATTGGCAAAAGACACAAAAGTGATCTGCTGGCAGAGGAGAGAAGCAATCAAAGGTGGCTTCTTTCCTACTCCTAACCTTCATGGAACTGAGCTGTTCATTGGTCAGTTCTTTTAAGGTCCCTCCTACTTCCTTCCAGCTAGTTGAAATCTGACACCGTCTGCCACTGCTGCAGTTTGATCAGAGCACAGAGGCAGCAGTGCAAAGAATACAACTCCCAGGTTTGCATTACTCTGTGACAGCTAATCAGAGCAGGTGCCATATCAGCAACATAGTTTTCTTCTGATAAAATACTCAGTCACAGTGGTACTGAGCTTCAGTTCAATGCTAAACAACGCAGTATATGTAAATATAGGCCTGCTGTAGGACACAGCATCAAAATACTATTTACTATTGTATAGTGTATAGATAGATAGATTACATAGATTCAACCTTTATTGATCCCGCAGCAGGGAAATTTTAAGTCTATGCCAGTGGTTCTCAACAGGGGGGCCACGGCTGACTAGGGGGCCACAGAAAGATGCCAGGGAGGCCTTGAGATGGCTGTGAATGTTATTAAGAAAATACTAAAACAAATAGTCTCATGACAAAAAACAAATAGTCCATCTGTAGTGCTTAATTTGTATAAACTAACTGCCTTGCCCAATAATAGCAAATTAATGAATTAATCAGAATGCAGTGAGGGGCCCTAACATGGCCATAGGCATTATTGAGGACCCCCGACCTTGGTATTGGACACAGGGGGCCTTGGCAGCAGAAAGGCTGAGAACCCCTGGTATACGCGATACAATTATGTGAAGACATGTTTTCTTGTCGCTGCCAATGTCCTCCAGCTTTAGCCGCCTTGCAGTGGCACAAAAAGAATCGCTGACTATCAGCAGCTCTGTCAACCTCTCGTGTTCAATGAATGGGAGACATGGACCATCCTAAACTTCAGAGTAACACTGACCCTTTCCACCAGCTACAACAGACCGAGCTGTGCTCCCGCCTGTCTGCACCGCTCCTGTACAGTTGTGTGTTCGCATCGCGCCCCGCTGCGGCTCGCACACACTCCGAGCGCTCACACGCACCTTCCAGTGACGGGCACGACTCTGTGCCTTGCGCACCAGCTGTTGGCGAACGCGCGAGAGATCTATAGCAGCGACTCGTCTTTTCTGGAGACACAGTTCAATTGAAAAATAGCAGTTCCGCCCCCGCATCATTCCTTAACTGGAAAAAAAAAACAACAAAAGAGACGGGGAACCCCATATATATAAGACAAACACACGAACAAGCAATAATAAGGCTGGGAGGGGCGAGCTTAACGCCGGCTGACTCCGTACTTCCACCGTGTTGAACTGAGAGCTAACAGCACCGTGCGCGCTCCCACAGATTTACCGGAGCTGTTCGCCGACGGTCAGAGGAGCTCCATGAACAAACTCAGATTATTGATGAGTCGCGTCACCGATTGTACACAGGCAAGATTAAACTGGATAGTACTTAGTCCTAATACACCGTGTATTACCAGGCTGTCCCATACAGTTCTACACAAAGTCAAATAAAAACTATTTAGAACTATTTCTTTAGTTGCCCGTGCAATGCAGTTTCTGTGTAAATAGTCTGTGCACGACCACATCCTAATCTCGCATAAGACCCATTCTTAAGAAGGAATCTCTTCATAGAGCCTTCACAAGCCCATTATTTATTAGTCATATAACAAGAAAACAACAGTTGTTTAAGACTCCGCTGTCTGTTCTACTCGGTTCGCGCTGAGCTCTGTGGGATCCATTAAGTCTCCATTAAATCACTGTTTTGGTTCTCACTCGTTCTAAATGCTTCATAAATGGTATCAAGTAACAAGTTCGCTGCTTCCACTGAGATATCGCACTAGGTTTACGCGCAGGATAAGCTTATGTATTCTCTTTCCCTTCACCAGCCTGTCCTCACTCCTCATCCATTCACACAGATGCTTTACCTAGACATTTCAATGGACTATAGAACTCTAGGCGGGCTAAAATCAGAATTGACTGCATTTATAGGCTAATGATACTGCATAAATGCAATAAACTGGGAGTCTTTTTTAAGTCGACACTGTGCTTAAAATAGGTAAATTGGTAACAGTTATAAATGGAAGCATGAGTTAGAAAAAGCATTGTGTCTTCTTTCCTTGAATTGTCCTTACCTTAGCGCTCGGCTCTCCGCTGCTTTCCACCTTACTGTCCGCCATGCTGGGTATACAATAAGAAGTAAATGCTTTGTAAAAAGAAATTGCAAATTTAAAAACCGACGTCAAGTATTTTTTCCAGTAGGAGCGCTGAGAAAACCGTTGTGCTGTCAGCTGCGTGTCCGCCAGCCGGAGCTGCTGCTTCATCGAGCAGTGGGAGGGGCCCGGGGTCGAGGGGCGAAGTGTGATTGGACAGCTTCGAGAATATTCAGCCTATAATTGGCTGGAGGGAAACAATAGTCAGGCCTTGTTTTGTGTGTGTTGTTCTTTAGTATTGATAGTTTATGGACCTTTCAGTTTTTAATCTTAAATCTGTCACTTCCCCTCTCTGTGAGAAACACACCAACACACACTAGTTACATGTAGTTTTAGAGCCCCTTAGTAAGTTTTACAAATGATCACACTGTCATATCAGCATAGCCAAAGCAGAAATTGCTTAAGTATTAATCCCAAAATAATATACTTTTAGAAAAATGAAAACGTAAAATTATTGTTGTTTATATAGCAAATTTGAGCCTAAGTGTTTTGCAAAACATAGATAAGTTTGTTAGTACCAACGGATGTTCGTTGTGAGGTTATGTTTATGAACATTTTTAAATACATACTACGACTTTAAATATACCTGGATCTACCGTAAATTAATTAACTGGTGCATAATTGTAAGTTTATCATATCCTCCATATGGATTTTTTTATTTGGATCTTTGCTATCCAGCAACCATCACTGAACGAGCAAAAACGAATGAAAAGTTCATGTGTAATTAGCTGGCTTCAAGAAAAGTGCAAGTGCTTCAAAATGATTGTATTACACTTGCCTGCATTCAAGTACAAAACAGAACCGATTCTAACCATCGCTACTGTAGGGTAACCGTTCCAATTAGATATAACATTACTACTGCTGCTCCTGTTTCACTGTCTGAATCCACCTCTGAGTGGTCTCGTAGCGCGCAGACTCAGAGTGACATGAGGTGGGAGGAAGGAGGAGAGGAGAGGGAGACAGAGAGGATCAAGCCGGAGGGGGCAAGAAAATAAAACGGGGTGGGAGTGGTTGACAAGGAGATAGGGAGAGACGCACAATGACGCTCAGACACTTAAGCACAACAGTGGATGCTATAATGTAATTATTCAGTGTTCTGAATTACATGTATAGCGTATCACTATAAGACAAAAATCGAAAAGGAAAGGGCCACTTAATTCCACCGAACGGTCGTCTATAAAACGCCATAAAGCACTTCTGTGAGATTCTAGTAATAACGACCGCGAACAGCACTGACGGTGGTCCCTCACCAACATGGCGGCCTGGAGAGTCCGTATTGCGTCGCGATTGTTGAACATTTTCAGTGATTGGGTAGTGAACTGGAGTAAATCTAATACTGACGCTTTGCGCAATGTGATTGGCTGATAGTGCTGCCAATCATTTAGACGAGGCTTAGGAAAGTGGGTGCGGTGTTTGGCAGCAGGTAAGGGCGGGAGCAAATCAGAGGCACAGCGGACTGGATGTGGCTGAGCCAACCTGACACTCTCCTAAAACGTTTACTGTAAACTTGTCTTTTTCTCCAAAATGACACTATTTATAGCTTTGAAAAAAAAAAAACTCATTCATGAATGCAATATACAGAGGAAGTGAGAACACCTCTGTGCAATATCACTTGAATGTCAAATGATTCAAAATTGTCACTTCTCAATATTAATTATTTCCATGCTGCACAGTGGGCTACAACAACAACAACAACAACAACAACAACAACAACAACAATAATAATAATAATAATAATAATAATAAAGGCATGAACAATATTTTTAAAAAGTACTTTAGAAACATATTACAAATGCAGGCCCAGAAGTAGACAGTCAATGCAGCTAAAGTGAATACATCCATCCATCCATCCATTTTCTAAACACTGCTTAATCCTCACTAGGGTCGCAGGGGGCTGGAGCTTATCCCAGCTGGCTTAGGGCGAAGGCAGGGGACACCTGGACAGGTTGTCTGTCCATCACAGGGCTACACATAAAGACAGATAACCAAGCACACTCACATTCACACCTACGGCCGGCCGGCCGACCAAAATTACTCCAAGAGCACAGTGACGGCTCATCCAGGAGGTCACAACGGAACCCAGGACAACATCTAAAGAACTGCAGGCCTCCTTTACCTCAGTTAAGGTCAATGTTCACGACTCAATGATAAGGAAAAAACTGGGCAAAAATGGCATCCATGACAGGACAGAAGGCAGTGCATGTATCTGCAAACGCGAGTATAAGTAGGGAGGGCAACCAAAACATTTATTTCCGGAAATCAACATGAATGAATATTATGATTATAATTGGTGGTGTCATTTACATTTACATTTGTATTTGTGTCTGTTTGCATGCGTGCATGCGTGTGTGTGTGTGTTTGTTTGGTAATTAGGATTTGAAGGATGCCAAAGAAAAGAAAACTGGACATAAGACACTTCTTTTGGAGTCAAAGTGTAAGTTACTTCAAGGGTACATTACTGTAGAGGCTTAACAATACAGATATTGAATAAAACAGTAAAGATGAGAAGTCTTCGCAGTTGCCTCCTTGTCTTTCATTAGTTGCTTTAACCTATAACATTGCAGAATGTATTAAATTCTTGTATTCTCTTTACATATTCAGATATGCGTTATAGACATGTCAATTACTGAAGATTTTTTCTGACTATGACTGTTTGCTTGTTTGATCAGCTCTACATGATGTGAAATTATGATTGCAAATAAAAAAAAAATGTCAACTTTCAGGGTGCTGCCTTGGAGCACTTTTGTGTCCCTACCAATGTCAAAAATCAAAGCTACTCCCTTGCCTGTGATCACTGAATTAAAAAAAAAAAACTACTGTACTACAGGTAGGGCTGCAAGGTGGAACAGTTGGTAGAGCTGTTGCCTCACAGCAAGAAGGTCGCTGGTTCGCGTCTCGGTGGTGGCAACGGGATCTTTCTGCGTGGAGTTTACATGTTCTCTCCAGGTTCTCTGGCTTCCTCCCACAAGGTCCGAAAACGTGTTGAGGTGATTCTAAATTGTCCGTAGGTGTGAATGTGAGTGTGCTTCATTGTCTGTGCCTAAGTGTAGCCCTGTGATAGACTGGTGACCTGTCCAGGGTGTCCCCTGCCTTCGCCCTAAGTCACTTGGGATAGGCTACAGTCCCCCCACAACCCTGGTGAGGATTAAGCGGTGTATAGATAGTGGATGGATGTACTACAGGTACAGGTAATTGCATTGTGTCACCAATTGATAACGAGTGGAATCACAGTTGCAGAAATAATCAGGAGGTACAGACTGAACTATAGCACCACAACCTAGAGCCACAGGGGCCATCCTCTAAAACTGCACTGTGAACAGTGCACTACTTGTACAATCTAGTGTGGAAAAACTGACAGGTAAGTGCTTCAGACTTTGCACAGGGGTTATCACTAGAAATCAGAGTTTCTGTCAGAGCTCAGACAGTGTAAAGTATATAACATCAACCTCTGTGGATGGTGTCCAAGAAAAACAAAATCCCGTTTGGTACAAAACTGCAAGACGAAAGTTTTCTTTAGAACACGAAAAGAAGTTTGATGAATATTGGGAACACATTCTTCATTTAGATGAGACCAAGATAATTTTTTTCAGCTTAGATGGGGTCGACTGCATTTGTACTAAATGCATAGTCCTGACAGTGAAGCACAGAGGTAGGAGTGTGAGATTAGGCTGCATGAGTGCAAAAGGTGTTGGGGAAATGACATACATAAATAGTACCATGAATGTCTGCCAATATACTAAAATACTGGCTGACAAGATGACTCCCAGTCTGCAGAAGCTTGAAGAAGAGGAATATTTCAGCATGTGAACCATCCGAAGCACACTGCCAAATATCACACAAGAGTTTCAAAAAGAGAAAAAAATGTAAACTATGACCTTTACAAGTATGCCACTTGGCTTGAATCAATAGCACATCTTTTGGGTATTTTAAAGAGAAAAGTAGAGCAACACAACCCTGCTGCAATAAACAGCTAAAAAAAAAATGTATTCTTTTAAGAATGATGCAACATCTCTCCCAAAATGTTTTGCAACACTCCTCCATGCTGGGCAGAATTGAGTTTTTCATCAAAAAGATATGTACAGTTGAAACCAGAAGTTTACATACTCTGTATAAAAAGATATAAAACCTTTTTTTTTTCTCACTATCTGACATTAAATCAGACTAAACTTTTTCCATTTTAGGTCAGTTAGGATTACCAAAATTATTTCTATTTGCTAAATGCCAGAATAATAAGAGAGATAAGTTTTTAGAGAATTTTTTTTATTACCTTCTTCAAAGTCAGAAGTTTACATACGCTAAGATTACTATGCCTTCAAACTATTTGGGAAAACCCAGAAGATGATGTCATGGCTTTGAAGGCTTTTGATAGGTTAATTGACAAAATTTGAGTTAATTGGAGGCACACCTGTGGATGTATTTCACCCGGGATCTTTCTGTGTGGAGTTTGCATGTTCTCCCGTGCAGCATGGGTTCTCTCTGGGTTCTCCAGCTTCCTCCCACAGTCCAAAAACATGCTGAGGTTAATTGGTGATTCTAGCTTGTCCATAGGTGTGAATGTGAGTGTGCGTGTTTGTCTGTCTCTCTGTGTAGTCCTACGATAGACTGGCGACCTGTCCAGGGTGTCCCCTACCTTCACCCTAAGTCAGCTGGGATAGGCTCCAGTCCCCTGCGACCCTAGTGAGGATTAAGAGGTGTATAGTTGATGGATGGATGAAACAGAATGTAAAAAAGAAAAAAGAAACACAAAAAAACGGAGGTCATTACTTAAGAAAGATGAAAACTCTGACAAAAAAATTCTTTAATAAATCTGAGAAAAAAGAGAGGAAAAAAAATCCTCTTCTTTCTGTATCCTAGAACGCCTCAGCATCCAGCAGCACCACTGCAACATTTACCGTCACGTCCACCTCTGCCCTACCAAGACCAACCTTGGCAGCATGCAGCTGACTTGATTCAATTCAATTCAATT